AACATTTAGATAGAAAATACCAAACATTTACATAATCAATACCAAACATTTACATAGACAATGCCAAACATTTACATAAACAAAATCAAACATTTACATAGACAATACCAAACATTTACATAGACAATACCAAACATTTATATAAACAATATCAAACATTTACATAGACAATACCCAATATTTACATAGACAATATCAAACATTTATATAGACAATATCAAACATTGACATAGACAATACCAAACATTTACATAAACTATACCAAACATTTACATAGACAATACCAAACATTTTCATAGACAATATCAAACATTTACATAGACAATATCAAGCATTTACATAGACAATACCACACATTTACATAGACAATTAGAAACATTTAAATAGACAATCCCAAACATGTACATAACCAAGACCAAACATTTACATAAACAATACCAAACATTAACATAGACAATACCAAACATTTATATAAACAATATCAAACATTAACATAGACAATATCAAACATTTATATAAACAATATCAAACATTTACATAAACAATATCAAACATTAACATACATAATACCAAACATTTCCATATACAATAATACCAAACATTTACATATACAATATCAAACATTAACATAGACAATATCGAACATTTACATAAACAATACCAAACATTAACAGAGACAATACCAAACATTTACATAAACAATATCAGACATTTACATAGAAAATACTAAACAATTACATAAACTATACCAAACATTTACATAGACAATACCAAACATTTTCATAGACAATATCAAACATTTACATAGACAATATCAAGCATTTACATAGACAATACCACACATTTACATAGACAATTAGAAACATTTAAATAGACAATACCAAACATGTACATAACCAATACCAAACATTTACATAGACAATCCCAAACATTTACATAGACAATACCAAACATTTTCATAGACAATATCAAACATTTACATAGACAATATCAAACATCAACATAGACAATATCAACCATTTACATAAACAATACCAAACATTTACGTAAACAATATCAAACATTTACATAGAAAATACCAAACATTTACATAAACAATATCAGACATTTACATAGAAAATACTAAACAATTACATAAACTATACCAAACATTTACATAGACAATACCAAACATGTACATAGACAATACCAAACATTTACACAAACAATACCAAACATTAACATAGACAATACCAAACATTTACATAGACAATTAGAAACATTTAAATAGACAATCCCAAACATGTACATAACCAAGACCAAACATTTACATAAACAATACCAAACATTAACATAGACAATACCAAACATTTACATAGACAATATCAAGCATTTACATAGACAATACCACACATTTACATAGACAATTAGAAACATTTAAATAGACAATCCCAAACATGTACATAACCAAGACCAAACATTTACATAAACAATACCAAACATTTCCATAGACAATACCAAACATGTACATAACCAATACCAACCATTTACATAAACAATACCAAACATTTACAAAGACAATACCAAACATTTACATAGACAATATCAAGCATTTACATAGACAATACCACACATTTACATAGACAATTAGAAACATTTAAATAGACAATACCAAACATGTACATAACCAATACCAAACATTTACATAAACTATACCAAACATTTACATAGACAATACCAAACATGTACATAGACAATACCAAACATTTACACAAACAATACCAAACATTAACATAGACAATACCAAACATTTACATAGACAATTAGAAACATTTAAATAGACAATACCAAACATGTACATAACCAATACCAACCATTTACATAAACAATACCAAACATTTACATTTACAATATCAAACATTTACATAGACAATATCAAGCATTTACATAGACAATACCACACATTTACATAGACAATTAGAAACATTTAAATAGACAATCCCAAACATGTACATAACCAAGACCAAACATTTACATAAACAATACCAAACATTAACATAGACAATACCAAACATTTACATAGACAATACCAAACATTTATATAAACAATATCAAACATTTACATAAACAATATTAAATATTTACATAAACAATACCAAACATTAACAGAGACAATACCAAACATTAACATAGACAATATCAAACATTTACATAAACAATATCAAATATTTACATAAACAATACCAAACATTAACATAGACAATACCAAACATTTATATAGACAATATCAAACATTGACATAGACAATACCAAACATTTACATAAACTATACCAAACATTTACATAGACAATACCAAACATTTATATAAACAATATCAAACATTTACATAGACAATATCAAACATCAACATAGACAATATCAACCATTTACATAAACAATACCAAACATTTACGTAAACAATATCAAACATTTACATAGAAAATACCAAACATTTACATAAACAATATCAAACATTAACATACATAATACCAAACATTTCCATATACAATAATACCAAACATTTACATATACAATATCAAACATTAACATAGACAATATCAAACATTTATATAAACAATATCAAACATTAACATAGACAATACCAAATATTTACATAGACAATATCAAACATTTACACTAACAATACGAAACATTTACATAAACAATACCAAACATTTCATAGACAATACAAAACATTTACATAAACAATATCAAACATTAACATAGATAATACCAAACATTTACATATACAATAATACCAAACATTTACATATACAATATCAAACATTAACATAGACAATATCGAACATTTACATAAACAATACCAAACATTAACATAGACAATACCAAACATTTATATAGACAATATCAAACATTTACATAAACAATACCAAACATTTGCATAAACAATATCAAACATTTACATAGAAAATACCAAACATTTACATAAACAATATCAGACATTTACATAGAAAATACTAAACAATTACATAAACTATACCAAACATTTACATAGACAATACCAAACATTTACATAGACAATACCAAACATTTACTTAAACAATACCAAACATTTACATAGACAATCCCAAACATTTACATAGACAATACCAAACATGTACATAGACAATACCAAACATTTACACAAACAATACCAAACATTTACAGAGACAATACCAAACATTTATATAGACAATATCAAACATTTACATAAACAATACCAAACATTTACATTTACAATATCAAACATTTATATAGACAATATTAATCGTTTTGATAGACAATATCAAACATTTACATAGACAATACCAAATATTTACATAGACAATATCAAACATTTATATAGACAATACCAAACATTTACATATACAATATCAAACATTTATATAGACAATATCAATCGTTTTGATAGACAATATCAAACATTTACATAGACAATACCAAATATTTACATAGACAATATCAAACATTTATATAGACAATACCAAACATTTACATATACAATACCAAACATTTACATATTCAATATCAAACATTTATATAGACAATATCAATCGTTTTGATAGACAATATCAAACATTTACATAGACAATACCAAATATTTACATAGACAATATCAAACATTTATATAGACAATACCAAACATTTACATATACAATATCAATCGTTTTGATAGACAATATCAAACATTTACATAGACAATACCAAATATTTACATAGACAATATCAAACATTTACATAGACAATACCAAACATTTACATATACAATATCAATCGTTTTGATAGACAATATCAAACATTTACATAGACAATACCAAATATTTACATAGACAATATCAAACATTTACATAGACAATACCAAACATTTACATATACAATACCAAACATTTACATATACAATACCAAACATTTACATATACAATATCAAACATTTATATAGACAATATCAATCGTTTTGATAGACAATATCAAACATTTACATAGACAATACCAAATATTTACATAGACAATATCAAACATTTATATAGACAATACCAAACATTTACATATACAATATCAATCATTTACATATTCAATATCAAACATTTATATAGACAATATCAATCGTTTTGATAGACAATATCAAACATTTACATAGACAATACCAAATATTTACATAGACAATATCAAACATTTATATAGACAATACCAAACATTTACATATACAATATCAATCATTTAGATAGACAATATCAATCGTTGTGATAGACAATATCAAATATTTACATAGTCAATACCAAATATTTACATAGACAATATCAAACATTTATATAGACAATACCAAACATTTACATATACAATATCAATCGTTTTGATAGACAATATCAAACATTTACATAGACAATACCAAATATTTACATAGACAATATCAAACATTTACATAGACAATACCAAACATTTACATAAACAATACCAAACATTTACATACACAATACCAAACATTTACATAAACAATACCAAACATTTACATAAACAATACCAAACATTAGCATGACCCTTACAATTTGTGTGTGTACTACCAAAATAACACTTTACATTGACACATATACGTAGACAGCATAGACATTTGGTTTTCCTCACCTAGGCTGTGTTACACTTCGTAATACTATACCGTTGACCCACGGGATAGCTCCAAAAGTTCTAATGCCCGAGGTTTTGATACGATGCTGTGTCTGCGATTTACATGTGTCCTTTATTGGAAGTGTCCATGTTGAATGCTGCATGTAATAGATTCTTGGGAGAGGTTTATTCTTATATGTAGTAGGGTATTGATAGGGGAGAGTGTACAGCGTCCTAGAATGACCGACCGTCCAATATTGATAATAGTGACCTCGTAAATATAGTATTACGTCTATTTCAAATGCCGTAATAACACTACTGATAAACAACCACAGGAACAACCATTGAACGAGACACATAACTCAAGTTTTCTGATTCCCAGGTCGGCCAATGGATTCCTTTCACGAAGAATCATCGGTCAGACATGGTCATCCAAATGAAAGAAATAGCTTGGCCTGGCGGGAAAACCAAACCACCGAAAGGAAAACCGGAAAGACGTCATTTCAGAATTGTGACGTTGAAGGAGGATCCTTACGTAATGTACCGTGACCCGGATAAAGTGACTAGACGGTGTGGACACCACTCTGTGGCCTGTCGTCTGGTGTATAATCCGGCTGAGCAGTAGGTTGTCTTCCTTTACCTCTACCACTTTATTCTTACAGCACAACTTCACTGACTTCATTAGGAATGATTTTTACGTAATTTGACCCCGACATGACAGATGATAAGTGTGAGTGATTGGATTTCCGTGCTACGTTTCCGGCCTGTTCGTCATACTATTGATTGCTATGATATAGAAGTCCATTTTGTACTTGTCTTTTGTTTTCCGTGTCTCTTTGTTATTACTCTTTATTCTCCAGTGTGACACGAATATATAATTGATTTTGTATTTTGATGCGTCTGATGATATTTGATAGATTCTTTATATACCAAAAGAAAATGACAAATAACACCAAACTGTACTCACTGTTTTTTTCCAATTTTATTACTAAAACTCATCAAAAAACATGAAAACCAATGTGAATGAAAATATGTATTTATCATATGACTTCCAAACATATTACACAGCAAACATATCACAATTTTCGCAGCTGATGTCGATTTAGTCTCCATATACGGGTTTCTTTTTAAGATAGATCTCGAAAAGCGTTTAATTATAAGTATGGTAAATCGTAGTTGTTTGAACGTCAAATTCGTTTACACTTGTTCAGCATTTGTCTTAATTAAGCTTCAATAATCTGAAGTTTTAACAAAATACATCAATATTCGTACGAGTGATTGCGCACTCGTAGTCAATACACCACCGACACACCTTCAAAACCAGAAGTGGGTTTTCAGATATTTGCCAAATCTTTGAGTCGACATCACTATAATGATAGCGTGCCAAACTCATTCTCTGATATTCCGTCACTTGCAAGGTTGCCAAACCATCTCTCAGAGGAATCGTAACTCGTACCGCATCGTAAGTTCCGATTATTTAGTTTTTGTGGCTATCCTATCCAACCAGTTCCCTGTTTTCACACGTTGATTGAGATGTGCTTTTGATACAGCAGGTTTATCATGGCCCGGGATCGGAGTCTTGCGCTACATAGTATGTGCTAACGTTATGTTACCGTCGTGTCACCATTGTGCCGGGCTTAAACGCTTTACCCTGACGAACGACCGGACTACATTACACACGAATGGTGACGGATAACTCGACGTCTGAGCACTGTTCCCTACAGATTCATGTTATTGATTATGCCATCACGATGGTAATGTTTGTATTTTGTTTCGAATAACGAGTCCTACAGTTATAGACTTTGGGGAATTTCACGTTCACAATATTTCCACGCCCTGCGTCTGACGATAATTCAATATGATTCCGGCACGAGACTATCCGCCTGATATTTATAGAAATGTCCGCTCGGTTGTACATTGATTGTGATAGTATCCGACACACTGATCTGCAGAGACAATGTTGCTCTTTGTTGGTGACTGAGGGTTACCATGATCTTGTTAATGATGAACAGAGATCCTAAACCTGCTCATCTCCTATAATCATTGACCCACATCTCTATGTGATGCCCCTCTCATTAGATCTGTAAGGTACCTTGTTAGCCCAAAGTACGGAATAATAAGTCTGTCTGCAAGCTGTGTGTACCCCTCTCGTTAGGGCTGTAAGGTTCTGTGTTAGCCAACAAATACAGAATGCTTAGTTTGTCTGCAAGCTGTGTGTGCCCCTGTCAATACAGCCGATAGGTACCTTGCTAGCCTACAAGTACAAACAAATAAATTTGTCTGCAAACTATATGTGACCCTTTCATCACAGCTGAAAGGTACCTTGTTAGCCCAAAGTACGGAATAATAAATCTGTCTGCAAACTTCGTGAATTCCTCTCATTAGGGCTGTAAGGTACATTGTTAGCCCACAAATACAGCAGAATAATAAGTCTGTCTGGAAACTATATGTGACCCTTTCATCACAGCTGATATCTGCCTTGTTAGCCCACATGTACAGAATAATAAGTCTGTCTGCAAACTTCGTGAATTACTCTCATTAGGGCTGTAAGGTACATTGTTAGCCCACAAACACAGCAGAATAATAAGTCTGTCTGCAAACTATACGTGACCCTTTCATCACAGCTGATAGCTGCCTTGTTAGCCCACATGTACAGTAATTTCTAAATTTGCAAACTGTGTGGGTCCTTTCATTACTAAAATTATAGATACATCTCTGTACAAATGGCACTAAATACTAGGTACTAAATATACTCCAAATTTAATATTGTACTTTTATTATCGTTATTAATGTTGGAATTAAAACGAAGTAATCACGTATTCACAAATCAAACGGTCTTTCGCCCCCTTCATTATACTACATGTATATGAGCGACACAATGTCGATGAGTGTACAGTCTCCTTGAAGCAGGATTGAGATGGCCAATCGATACTCCGTATCCCCTATGTACACATTTTAAGCAAAACAGTAGTTTGTAGGGTGGAAATGTCCATACCTTAATTTAATTTAGTAAATTTTGTTGTTCCTATTAAAGGTTAATAAGATATACCCAGGGATTCCCTGGTCCTTACGCGCGTGAACAAGTATCCATCTGTTCATGCTATGAATAGATACATTTGCCGCGTCTGTTTTCCAAGTCCGCTGTTCTTAAGCCAAGTTAAGAGTAATTTGAAATCCGGCAGCGGTGTCCGGAGGGAATATCTTACGTACTACTCGAGACGTAAATGTGGACAGAGATTATTCACGTTGTGAAAGACTCTGATTGGTTTTTTAGTTATGCAATGGAATTTTCAGTTACCAAATATCATTTCAGGAAAAAAAATATTCCCTTGGGAATAAACTAAAGCTGAATTTCTTTCCACATGTTACTCCGTGCTTGTTGTCAATAACATCGAAATGTTGAAATGTGTTATGTATTTCCAATAACATAGCAATGTTATCACATTTTATGTTTTGCCAATGACATCGAACTGTTATAATGAGTTATGTATGGTCTTAATATCATCTATATGGTATCATATGTATTGTCAATACATATCCATTTCCCTGAACAATAAACTGCAATAGACACACTTACGCCTCTCGTGGTGTAGGTGATGTTAGATGTAAGGCGTCTTACTGTTCTATCTGATTTACATCGATGTAAAAACTTGTTAGAGTATTTCTACGGTTAGGATTCGTTTTTATGTGTACACCATGTTGTTCTCACCGAATAATATAACATGTGACAGAATTAATCTGATACCTACAAAGGAATGGTACCAATGTATACATTATACACAGTACCAGTACCTCAAAGGAATCTAACACAAACTGTTCACGGAAGTGATGCCTACATTAATGCATTACTTGTACAACCGTGGATCGAATAGTGGCACCATAAACCAATTTATTACAAACAAAACTCATGGCAATGATAACTGAAGTCCGTCTGATACCCACCGTATAACCCCGTAGTGATAATAAAAACCTGCCATGTCATGTACAACTTACCAATAATATATATCACAATATCGTCCTGTTATCCAGTGAATTCGCCCGTGTAATATTTTTACATATGTATACCCTGAAGCGTTTTTCATTTTCTGTGCCAGTCAGAAATCGATTGTGACGTCATAATATGGACAATGACGTGACGCCATAAATTGTGAATGGCTGAAACTCGTCTCGAAGTTTTAATTTTTGCTCGTCAAGGCTCGCAAAAATAAAAACTCCGAAGACTCGTTTCATAAAATCTCACATGAAAAGAAATTAAGCATTGAACTGTTTTTGTATGGTATTTATGATCTATTTGAATGACAAAGCTTTGCAAGCAAACAACATAATGCGCGCTACGTTTTCTCTGCCTCTTATGTCCTTTTTTTATTTTATAATTTATATTTAAAATTAAAAATGCCCGCCTTATCGACAGTCCACACAATTTCGTTCAATAGTTTGAACAGCGTATTGTCGCGTGCTGATCGGCAAACAAAGTAATACTTTGAAATTTTAACAAACACTTCAATTTTATTCCATAATTCAGTATCAATACAATTGCGTATGATATGTCTATAGGGTGATTTAAGTTTATCAGAACTCTGAGCTGAAAGTTAGATTTGAAATTGTTTGGATTTTTCCCCGGAACAAATTTCGCGCATGGACAAATACAGTGAACACCGGAAATCCGACCTTGCCCTCCACGAGGGAGTTATTTTTGGAAGTTAATATGAACTTTTTTCCATAAAACTTATTTATCGCTGATTGTGAAAAGTTAAATCTTAATTTTTTCACAATCAACATACACCTATATATCAGTTACTATGTACCAATCAGTGCTAACTTCTGTTAACCTGCTAGTAATCGTGTAGTCTGCAGTGCTACATTGTAACATTAGCTTGCCTGGTAATTATTTACCGAAAAAAACCACAATGATACATGTACATGTAACATTAATTTATAAGTCACCATGACTATTGTGGTGAATACAATACCAGAATCTATTGACCTATATGTTTTTAAATTAACTTATATAATTCACCCTGTACATTGTAGTGATAACGACAGCACCTTACTAAACAATACAGTGATACGTTGCTGTACCGGACTGTGTATAGACCTACTGGAGATACTCAGTGAGCGGATGGACTTTGACTACGAGTTGTACGAGGTTCCGGACCAAACCTGGGGACTCCCGGACCAGGTAAAATCTGTAGGGTTTAAGCCAACTATGCACCTGGCCGGGTTCTAATCAGTTTCACTGACATCTGCATATGTAAGACGCACGTATACACGTAGAGCACTCTTGTAGGGTAAAATGTTGAGTAAAAAGTGGAAGCTACGCGGTTCGATTTTTATCCGTATGTTTCAATAATTCACCATTTCAATATAGATCTTTCCGTTATAAGTAGCCTTCAGCTATCATACAGGTGAAGGGATGAATATGCTTTAAAGTCAGTATTATAATTAAATACAGAAATAATATACTATAACTGTTCTTTGTTGTACATTTTGTTTGATGTACTTGTTTATTGTTGGTGTCAAAGGGAGGATTATCCCCACAGTCGTTAGTACTTCTCTATGCTTATTTTATATGTACATTTAACTATAGTAAACGTTACTATTAAATTTTAACTAAAACCAACTGAAATACAGGATCTCTTCTACAAGTGATAGGTATCACCTCATTTTGAACAGTTGCCTACGTTGCGACAAATACAGCATAGGTTTGTTCAATATGTTTACCAACATTAATTACAGAATGGCTAGAAATATTTCTTTGCTACATCAATATCACTTCAAAACGTATTTTGAAATATCCTGTAAAATGAGTCTATACTCCTGAATGTTTTCCCTCGGTGTTAATCGTTATACTGAACAAGCAATTCAATGAAATTAAGTTAAGATCTATCTCCAGTGTCACCATTTTTAAAATAATGAAATCTATTTCCACAGAGAACAGGCCAATGGAATGGGCTCATAAACCAGTTGATGACGCATAGAGCAGACATGATAATGACGTCATTAAAAATAACACCAAAGAGGAACGAGTTTATTGATTTTTCGGTGCCCTTTTTGGAGACTGGAATTTCTATAGTGGTGTCTATTCGAAAAGGTGCTATCTCTCCGACAGCTTTCCTAGGTAAAGTATTGTACATGTATCATTCTACGTGGTACTCATAGCATTTCATTCCTACAGCAGCTCCCTTAGGATGCCAAAATAATTGCTCCCGGCGCAGAAATATAAGAAAGAGCACGTTTTTAACTAAGCTCGTTCGTCTGAACAAATTGGATTTGTACATAGATGTCTTCAGATACTTCAAAGTCCACGCTGTTTTGGCGTTCATTCTGAGACTGGAAAGGGCTAAATAGGAAATTAACATTAAAACATTCACTAAATATTGCATGGAATTGATCATAATTACCAAGAAAAAGGTATTTTCCGATTGATTTTTTTTCATACCTATAAAATTGAGTAATAGATACAGAATGTCAAAAATGAATCACACTTCACCATACAGCTGTACTAAATCCTACATTCCACAGACAGTGGTGTTTTTTTTATAAATTCTCTCCAGTTCAAACAAATTCAGCTTAACTTAGTAGTGTATATGCGCATGACCAGAAATGTGTATAGTCAAATACCTTCAAACGGTGTCATTTGATGTTTGTATAGCGGTTCTTGTTTAATGCGTAAAAACTTGATATTAACTGTGAAAAGCCGAAGCTAGTGCCATACAATGAAATCGACAGATACACGTCTATCATGTATGGGTGATGCACACAGTCAAAAAGGGTGATACACGTTTATCATGTATGGATACTGCCGCTAAAAATAATAAGGACTGCTTTGTGCTGGAAAGCTGATTGTAATACACAATTTAATAATGACACTCTAAACAAAGCTTAGCGTAACATTTTCTGCTATCGTTGTTTTTGTTTTTAATTACACTGAGCATTTCAAAATCTCTTACTTCAGCAACGGGTGATACACACAGTCACACAGGGTAATACACACAGTCACACAGGGTGATACACACAGTCACACAGGGTGATACACACAGTCGCACAGGGTGTTACACACAGTCACACAGGGTGATACACACAGTCACACAGGGTGATACACGCAGTCACACAGGGTGATACACGCAGTCACACAGGGTGATACACACAGTCGCACAGGGTGATACACACAGTCACACAGGGTGATACACACAGTCACACAGGGTGATACACGCAGTCACACAGGGTGATACACGCAGTCACACAGGGTGATACACACAGTCGCACAGGGTGATACACACAGTCACACAGGGTGATACACACAGTCACACAGGGTGATACACGCAGTCACACAGGGTGATACACGCAGTCACACAGGGTGATACACACAGTCGCACAGGGTGATACACACAGTCACACAGGGTGATACACACAGTCACACAGGGTGATACACGCAGTCACACAGGGTGATACACACAGTCGCACAGGGTGATACACACAGTCGCACAGGGTGATACACACAGTCACACAGGGTGATACACGCAGTCACACAGGGTGATACACGCAGTCACACAGGGTGATACACGCAGTCGCTCAGGGTGATACACGCAGTCAAACAGGGTGATACACGCAGTCACAAATGATGATACACGCAGTCACACAGGGTGATATACACAGTCACACATATTGATACGGTGATACACAAAGTCGCACAGGGTGATACACGCAGTCAAACAGGGTGATACACGCAGTCACACATGGTGATACACGCAGTCACACAGGGTGATATACACAGTCACACAGGGTGATACACACAGTCACACAGGGTGATATACACAGTCACACAGGGTGATACACGCAGTCACACAGGGTGGTCACACAGGGTGATCACACAGGGTGATACACGCAGTCACACAGGGTGATACACGCAGTCACACTGTGTGATACACACAGTCACACAGGGTGATACACACAGTCACACAGGGTGATACACACAGTCACACAGGACACTCATATTGTAAGAATAAACACTTTATAGCGTAAACTTCCCATAATAGTACAATTTGTCCAAGCCATATATCTTATATAAATTGACTATTACTGCTTCAGGATGTGTTCGAATAGATTAGTATGCTAACATAATTGTAAATATGCGCAGACATTATTGTGACGATATTTTCCGTACTATTTTTCAGAGCCATACGACTACCCCTCGTGGTGTTTGATCCTAGTGTTTAGCGTACATGCCACAGGAGCTTCAATATTTATATACGAGTGGCTGAGCCCACGGGGACTTGACCAGGGACGAACATCATTGCGAGGTAACTGCGAGGTAAATCACGGATCAAGTTGACCGGAAGTAGTGGCAATGATAGTGTATCGCTTGGTTTAGAAAGGGAAGTTAACCCTGTAATCGATTCAGAAGTGGTGTTTTCCGTCCTAATTAATACATTTATTGTGTAGGTAAGAGCTTCGTCATCGTCTAGGATATAGTTAACTCTATACACTTTAGCCTATTTTAAAGACAGTACCATTTAAGTTTAGTTTCTACAGCAATTTACACAATAATGTAACACATTTATAGCATATACAGTATAAAAGGGATGGGAAAAACCATTCAGAACTTTTGATATACTTTGAATATCTCTCCCAAATTGAAATGCTTCATTTAGTTTACACAATGATAACCAAATTCAATACAATACATCTTGCACTGATATTGACAATGTTTCTGCTGTAAAACTAAGATCACCAACGTAGTTCTAGCGTATTTACACGTTACGCTGGCATTATTACTTTAGAACAATACGGAATAATGTAAAAACAACACTTTATCGATGTAAAATAAATAAGTTGTTCTCGTGAATCACTGTATTATGTCTACGTTAATTTCCGTTCTACAACCTCTAAAATTTAACCAACTCCAACAGTGCAATAAAAAGCGAAACAGAACTAATATACTGTAACGCAACTGTAATATGGGACCAATCATGTCGTAAAGTCAAGTTCAACTTTGATGGAAATTCCCGAATGGTTTCTGACTGAAATGGTAACCATAAAAACACGACCTTATCATATAAAATACAAGTTGTTACACTATTTGGTATTTACTTTAGAACAATAAGGAATGATGTAAAAACAACACTTTATCGATGTAAAACAAATAAGTTGTTCTCGTGAATACACGGTATTATATCTACGTTAATTTCCGTTCATATCCAAATATATGAACATATTAAACTACAATGTATATTACAAATACTTAATTTACGTATGTTTGTACAAGAAAAAATTGTTAGCATAGCAACGTTCTGATCGACTTTATTGGTTATGATATAACCTAAATAAACGAACCATAAAAACAGGATTATGACACGGAACAAATGAGCTGACAATATAACGCCGGGGTCACGGTGTACGACACCATGACGACAACGATACATTCTGTAAATGATACGGATTGCCGGTAGTCATGCCAACAGACAGCGATGGCTTCAATTGGAAAACGTTATCCCTTTATCGAGTAGACGGATTGCGTGAAATAACTAAAAAGGTTAGGAGCTCACTTTCAATATGCTTTGATCTGTTTTTAATATATAGTATCGCGCTATCAATGTTTCTCAGCCGTGCGACGTGTCGCCATTGACCACTAGATCTGTTAGACAGTTCTAATTGTTCGGCTACATCAGTTTTAATGTAACATTCTAGTCCCGGAAACCCCGAGTGACACTAACACATCAGGTCGATAGGTAACCTTCCACTTCCGGAAACGCCGAGTGATACTAACAAAGTACAATTAAATTGAACTATCCGAGATATGATCATGACTCGAAAACTTGTCAAAGATTAAATGTTCGAAATGACAGGAGTGAATTGAAACAGAAATGTTTAAATTGCTGTGTTATTTGTCATTTGCATAGTTCTTCACAAATCACGACCCCGTGCTATTTTAGCGGAAACACATTGATTCAAAGATATGTTCAGTTTCTATACTCTACTTAGCAATAGATTATATTACGCTATCCAATATCACATCATTTCAATACAAATCCAGTAAAATGGTTTTCGAACAAATATTGTCAGTTTCGAAAAGAAAGGTATTTTTAAGCCATTGAACGCATGCTCTCGTTGGTTCTGGGTGAACTATCTTTTCATCAGTAAAACCCTACTCGATTATAGTGTAGAGTTTTACCCTGGTGTTATGTCTTTCATTGCGGATATTAAACCGCCAGCATGTACCTGTTTATAGTATGAACAAGTCGATAACAGGATGGGCTTTCATCATTGGACACGTGTAAAAGCTGCATCATCTTAGTGAAAATTAATTTTATTCTGTTACAGAGAATGAATCTCAAATAAGGCGTTTTCTCTTATTTTTATCAACTTCTAATCATTCAAAACTGTTTTATTTGATCTATGTTATCATGTTAAGTATTTATGAAAGTGGCATCAAAGACATTGTTAAAATCTACGAGAAAGCTTATCAGAGAGGAAGTTCGCTCTACTTCGTAATATCCTTTGCTTCTTTGCTTATTTGTCGTAATGTCAATAAACTGCCTTATGACGACCGATGTTACCACTCTGGGTTTCAATCTACCAGTGAATCCTAACGTGAAAGTGAAAAAAATGTCTCGTTAAACGAACCTAAAGTTATCCATTGCTAGCTTAACTGTTGTTCGTGCTGGGAGAAATTATTTTGCAGAATAACTGCCACATTTTGTATGTTTGTGATCATTGCCAAGAATGTTTTCATTGTGATACGTGTAACATCTCTATATGTTTAAGATCATTGTCAAGCGTGTTTTGAGTCTGATCAATACAACATTTCTTATTTCATTATTTCAACATATCTTGTGGTAATTTGGCAAACTTGCATTGGTTGTGATCAAGTACAAGAGCTTACATTGATAGGCAAGTCCCGTAAAGGCTTTAAACCTTGACAAGAGCAAAGCTACTTTTTGATAAAGTCCGCGACCTTTTTGAGTTCTAGAGACTTATATTTGGATAACAATAAAAGAAAAAAGAAATAATATCAAAACTTGTATGATGGTTGTTTCACTACACGGTGAAATGTCCAAAGATTTGTACATCAGAAATTCACTTCGTATCGCTCATCTTAACAGTGTTTTCCTCAACATTATTTTCTTTGCTTTTCATATTTTTACACAAAGCTTCTTCCCTTTAATCCAATGAAAGTAATCACTGCGGTCTATTTTTCACTGTAAGTTCTAAACACACATGTTCTAAAGCACCACCATCGTTTGTTATTTCTGTCGGCAGAGGGAATGATGTAAGCGTGGACTATTTCAGTTGTTTTTACAAAATAGCATTTCTTCCCCTTAGTAAACCTCGCTAGTTTGTCAATCTTATCTCTTTTCTACCAGTTAAAACGTAGGACTTAATCATGTTAATTATTAGACTACGTTTTATGCAGACAAGATACATTCAGTAGGTAGTAAGAGGTTAATGTCTCTGCATATCATCTAATTTCCCTATAAAACAGTAAGTTTGCGTTGCTTGTGAATCTATTGTGACATTGATTGGTTTAATTTTTGTGGATTAAAGCAAAACCAGATTTTATCTTGACAGAGCATAGGTTCTCGCTGTTCCGGTCGCTATGGCTGATTTGGGCTATGCTGTTTGGAGCTTCAGTTTCCACAGATACACCCCGAGGAGTGTCGAGCAGATTTCTGGCGAACGTCTGGGCGTTGTTTGCCTTGGTTTTCCTCGCTAGTTACACAGCTAATTTGGCAGCATTTATGATCACTAAAGACGAGTACTACAACCTCTCTGGGATAAAGGATATTCGTGTAAGTCTGGTTTGCTCATACAATCTCAATGTTATTCATGTTGTGATGTGAATCACTCGTGATATAGATAGTTCAATAAAGAGGGCGTGACATGTACGGTTGTATACAGCAGCGTGATAACAAGAAAACGGAGAACGAATACAAATAATGCTTGTTTATTACTGTGAAACTTTTGATTGAGAGCTCGAACACTATATGGGTAAGATAATGATTACGTATCATTTGATCAAGAGAAAGTATAGAAACCAAGGGGCATACAGGAGACAAATGGTCTCATATCCTTTGGAAAAGGTTTCAGGTCTCTGTTTCACAACATATCTTAACTAAAATATTTGTTTCCTCTTAAATTCAATTTTCAAGGTAAAGGAAATCTTAATTTATGCAAAAGAACGTTCTAAAAAAAACAGGGCGAGTCCACTGTAAGTGTGAACTGGTGATAAAGACACCTTAACATGTCCATTGTGCAGACCTTACATAAACTACCAACTAAACTGTTACACAAACAAGCAAGAACTACATCGTGTATTAAACGTGATGTTTTCCAATTGGAAACTTTTCGGGGTTTTCCGTCATATTCGGGGACCAGTAATGGGGTGACATTCCCGAACGTTTTCTGATTGATGGTTGTCGCCTGACAGAGCTCATGGCCATGTAGAACAAAACCAGCTGTTCCGTGATTTGTTCATGTGTGTATAAATGTAATCATCCATTGCACACATAGTGAGGCTGAGTGTAAAGGACATTTTAAAATTTCGGGACACTATCTCATAAACCGAAAAAGTACACACAGAAAGATGAAATACAACGACAAATAAGGATTGAAATGTACATCTTAAAAAAGTATTATGGTAAACAACTCAGGTCCCTTCAAACATATTTACATAGATGCTTAAATGCGCATCATGGAAAAATATTTTAAAGGAATTGGTCGTATATCATCATAAAGGTCAAATATTAGGATTTCAGTCCAAAAATATATTGTGTTTGTATTGACAAGAGTTCATAATAGGAGGGAAGGGGAGGGGTTAAACTAGTTCACATAAAAACATATTCCCAAAACTTAGGACGTTGTTGCCGTATGAATCCCCTTTTTGTGTCGCTGACGCCGACATATAGGTATAACTTTGTCGCTGCCGACATATAGGTATAACTTTGTCGGCGTCGTCGACGTTGTCGGTGCGTCGTCCGAAACAAGGTTTCCGTGCGATAGCTCAAGCCAAAACACTTTTCTTACTAAAAGCGCTGAGCAGGCGACATATCCACTTCCGTGGAATTCTTGTATGAATTGTTAAGTATTATTCGTACACATTCCCCCTTTTCCTCCACTAATAGTGAAGTAGACTCAATAGTCATATATGTTTCCACCTAAATACAACCTGACATCGCCCTCCTGTAATGTGTAAAAGACTAACGTATTTATAACGTATTGTTTTGGTAGTGGAATATTCTGGGGTCGTGGCTGTTTACACAGAGTCAATATCCTGTTGTGGGTCGTCAAAATCACATCACATTAGTAATATATTCATTTCTGAATGGACATTTTATAGCTTGGCCATGTCTTTAAATAATGTGATGCTGTCTGGCAGATGTTGAATTGATAAGGAGTTAATTTATTCAGATATTTTGCTTACTAAGTGTCCATACACTAAATGAATATATATAAACGAAAATTACTCCCATTATGTCATGAATACATCATGAATGTAGACTCGTCTAAGTAAGGAGCCATGTTCATATCTGTCAAAGTGATGCTTGTGAATAGCTTAAACTTATTGCTTAAGTGGCTAAGAAGGTTAAAGTGCTGTTCCATTAATATACAGTTCCAATGCCGATATACTGGTAAATACATAATAGCAAATAAGAGACCGAGAGTTTAATATACATTTATACAAACTTAATGGTATTACTGTAAATCATCATAGCAGTATGAACGCATCTTGCGTAACTATAAAATAAACGGGTATGCAAATTACAAAAGTGAATACCGCTTACCACATGCAAAAATGTTAAACAATAACCAATTTTATGTCTATGAGAAAGACAAAAATATTTCCTGAAATATATTGCAATTGTTACATCAGTGGTGTGAACAATTAAACTTCTTGCAAAACACAAACAGTGAAATAGGCATACAATTAACTAGAACAAAAAGTTAGTTTAAAACATACCGTGAAATTGGCATCATAAATAAACTGAATCTGACATGCCGTTCAGTCAAACTAGCATCGTATATACAGTGAAATTGCAATAACACATACAATGAATCTTGTATTGCCAGGTAGTTCGGTTATCCAGCAGGCGATGTGGGTCTTTCTACCGATCGGAATTTCACGATTTCACCTATCTGAATTACACGATTAAATGTTCAATGGCATGGTCCACATGCCAGGAATATGCATAAATATATGCACAATATCGACGAGTAATGCCCCTCTAGTTTGATTCAGTAATATTTACACCTGATGTTGATGCATTGTGTGCATTAATATTTATCTACATATTTCATATTTTTATTTCAGTTGAAACATCCTTATTCACAATCTCCCCCCTTCCGGTTTGCGACGGTGCCAAACGGAAGTACTGAAGAGAACTTACGACAAAACCACCGTAAGATGTTTGCCTATATGCGGCAGTTTAACCAGTCTACAGTTGATGGAGCACTCAAGTCGTTAAAGGATGGGTAAGGAGTCCTCAGGATTCATCATGATTATACAAAACAAGAAAGCATTTATTTTGTTTATATGACATTGTTGACAAAACGACTTATTCGGTTGAATAGTTACATATTTGATATGGAGCTGGATGTTCCAATATCTACCGATTAACACGTTCTTCAAACTAATAATAATAAAATAAAGAATGAATATATAGATAACACAACGACATCATTGGAATGACATCTACTGTTATTCTAGTTATTTCGTTGGTAAATGTGTTACCTGTAGGCTAGTTATTCGTTGGTAAATGTGTTACCTGTAGGCTAGTTATTCGTTGGTAAATGTGTTACCTGTAGGCTAGTTATTCGTTGGTAAATGTGTTACCTGTAGGCTAGTTATTCGTTGGTAAATGTGTTACTTGTAGGCTAGTATATGAGTTTATGAGTTGGAGCTGCACGACCTGCCTACCACAGTGTCCATGAGTAGTACGACACTTTTACTGACATACAAATGTATGATGTCTCCAATGTTATATAGGATCATGCTATCTACAAACTAGAGCCCCTTATACATGATTCAGGTATGTCGTCTCGCTAACTGCTGTTCACCGAGTCTGTGAGCGTTGATTTGGTAACGCCATTAGGAGCTATTTCCCAGTTTGCAAAGCACGTTTGTGTAGCGTCTTGGCCACGTTAAGTGTCGTGCCCAATATGTTGAGGTGGTAATTGTTTCCAATTATACACGACAGCGGTATTAGTATGGGAATGCTTGACCCTGCTGCACTTATAGGGGGAAAGGGGAAAGTGCAACGATTGCCATCATGAGAACCGTATGATATACCTTCTCCTTGATGGTTTAACGCTTGGCTGAATTTCTCTACCATTACCAATACATACAATCACCGTGTGTCAACACTATCATTGTCACTAGTGTAATTACTAGGCATCAGTGTAATGAATATTTTGCACAAAGTTTATGTCGTTATTGTCTATCCGTGTAATAATTATTGTGCACCAATGTAAATAATGTGCATTAGTGTAATTATTTTGTGCACCATTCTAATCAATATGTATCAGTTTAATTATTTATTGTGCACTGGTGTATTTTTCTGTGAGGCATCAGTGTTATAAATATACAACAGTATATTTGTTTGTGAAACAGTTAACTTCTATGCAGTATAAGCGTGAATATTATGTTACTATGTAGGTATTTTGTGCCAGTCTACTTTCAATCATTCAAATTACCGATTACTGTGTACAGATGTACTAACTATGTAATCACTCCAATTACAAATTACTGTGTACATGTGTACTTACAATGTAATCATTCCAATTATTGATTACTGTGTACAGGTGTATTTAATATGTAATCACTCCAATAACTGATTACTGTGTACATGTATGTTTACCATGTAATCACTCCAATTACTGATTACTGTGTACAGGTGTACTTACTAAGTAATCACTCCAATTACTGATTACTGTGTACAGATGTACTAACTATGTAATCACCTCAATTACTGATTACTGTGTACAGGTGTACTTACAAAGTAATCATTCCAATTATTAATTACTGTGTACATGTGTGTTTACTATGTAATCTTTCCAATTACAGACGGTTGTGTACAGGTGTACTTAATATGTAATCACTCCAATTACTGATGACTGTGTACAGGTGTACTCACTATGTAATCACTCCAATTACAGATTACTGTGTACATGTGTACTTACTATGTAATCATTTCAATTACTGATTGCTGTGTACATGTGTGTTTACTATGTAATCATCCTAATTACTGATTACTGTATACATGTGTACTTACCATGTAATCATTCCAATTATTGATTACTGTGTACAGGTGTAATTACTATGTAATCACTCCAATAACTGATTACTGTGTACAGGTGTACTTACGATGTAATCATTCTAATTACTGATAACTGTGTATATGTGTACTAACACTACGTAATCACTCCATTTACAGTTCAGTTTAATTACTGTGTGTAGTAATAGTCTAGTCACCCTATGATAAACCTCAAACGAATTGCAACATAATTTATTTCTGGTTTTTCATACAGGTTGGTTTATACTGTGTAACAGAAAAAAGTCCACAAAAATCAACTTTTTGGAAAATGTTCTTTTTCGCCCGAAATAGGATCAATAAAATAAGAATAATTGCTTACTGGACCAACATTGAAGTGTAAATATCACCCTTTTGTGTAACACTGAATAGGAGGAATTAACTGTATTGCAAGACCAATCAGTGTACAATACAGATTAGCCAAAAAAAATAAATAGGAACCATCACATTGAAAATGTATCACACCATGAATATTGCAAAAAAGCATTCAAATATCGAACATATTAGCCTCTGCATTTTTAAGACAGAATATTCAATTAATCAAGATCAATATCGATATTGACTTTGAAGAAATGCATTACAAACTGATTTGTATATTAAAGTTTCATAAATGAGAAGTTTTTCTTTCACATATTAGAATTTATGAATGTTCAAAGTTGGCCTGCGGGGCTGACTGGGAGCTTTTTTAAAGTCCAAATTGAATATTTTTTAATTTATGCATGTAATAATTTTACAATATCTTCAGCAAAATACTGAAAAGTGCTCTAAATCATTTTCTATGCAATTTATTCTTAGCAAAAATGCCATCTGGGTTACGATATCTCCAAATAATGAATGAAGTCAGGTAGATGAAAACCTCACCTCGTGCACATTTTACTAAACCATTAAAGATTGCTAAGTCCATGATTTTGGACAACAGAAATGTGAATATTATTTTTTTGTGTTTTATCCGATTGCTTAATCTTTTGGCAGGAATTGCCACCATAACATGGTCCTCTTGATTAAGGGGAAGTAAGGTTAAACTGGTATCTTATTTTTTTCTTTCTTTCACACAATAGAACAGAATGGGAGGATATGTAATTTTCAATAAAATGATTAAGTTGTATGAATGTTTAACTTCAAACTTATCTCACAAAAACATCCGTTTCATCATTGCTTTACTGGCTAATCATTAGTTAATCAGACAAAACTGGTGCACAAAATAGATTTTTCGTTGTTCAGAATCATGGACTTGGCCATTTTTTCAGTGTTGAGTCTAAATTGCATGAGATGAATTTTTTTACCATCAGAGCTTGGACACATTTGTACACTTATCTTACCAAAATTACCATTTCTAATAAGTTCTACACACATCTAAATGGATATAAAATGCTTGTAATCATTTGCTTGTCCTTTTTCAAATTACATGTTACAGAAATAGGTAAATGGTTTATTTTGGACATAAGTTAACACCAAATCGGCACAATTGGTCAAATTAGATGGCTGATATTGTTTTTTTGTATGTGAATGTAACATCTTTCGTGCATTAATATTAGATAAAATGTGATTTTTTAAGAAGCTAGATATAGACTCATATGGTCACTGAGATTAAGTAATTAGTATTTTCTGCATTTAAATAGAAAAACAAAAGCCAATATTGTCAAGCTCAGAATGCTTTTAAGCCATTTTTATTGTTCAATGATTTTTCAATGCAATACCTCTTCTGTAACATTTGGTAAATCTGTACTATATTTTAGTTGGTCTTGCTATACGGTTAATCTTATATATCCAGTATTTCAAAGGAGGAAGATATAATACACTTCAAAAGTGGTCAGATATGTGATTTTCCTTATTTCTCTGATCCTATAGAAGGTCAAACAAATATTTTACCAAAGTTTGATTCCAGGTGACATTTTTCCTGTTATAATACTGATAATTACCATTCCAAAAAAAAATGAATTAGTTTGAAGTTTGGGCTGATTTAGCGTAGGATAACTAGACTATAACCATTTAAAGTAAAGTATATCACTGTATGTAATATTTGCCGGTGTATTATATTGACTAATTGAAAATGTAATACCTTTACTTTATAACTGTATCAGTGTAGAGTGCGCTGTACCAGTGTAAATTTGGTGCAATACCTATGTAATTACCGAGTAGTATCCGTGTAATTATTGTTCAGATCTCGTGTAATTATTTATCAGTGTATTTTTGTGCAGTAACCTTGGAACTATTGTGCTCTACAAGATCAATTATTGTTCAATACCAATGTAACATGCGTTCTGGTAAAGTATATGTGCGTTGATTGTATTGTGCAGTTAAGATGATATTACTTCGCAGTTCCTCCGTAATTATTTTGCAGTATCAGTTAAGTTATAGTGCAGAGTGTGTCAATGTTATATCTGTGCAGTTCCGTTGTGATTTATCATAGAAAGTAGTGCATCAATATCATTACTTTATAAAGCTGTACAGTTTGTCTTCTAATCATCAACGAGTACCCGAGTAATCCCTGTGTAAACAGTGTAATTATTAATGAACAGCGAAACTATTGTGTAAACAGTAAGAGTAATTATTGTGTAAGCAGTGTAACTATTGTGCAAACAGTGATAGTAATTATTGTGTAAACAATGTAAATATTGTGTAAACAGTTAAAGTAATGATTGTGTAAATAGTGTAACCATTGTGGAGACAGCGTAATTATTGTGTAAACAGTGAGAGTAATTATTGTGTACACAGTGTAATTATTGTGTAAACAGTGAGAGTAATTATTGTGTAAACAGCGTAATTATTGTGTAAACAGTGTGTGTAATTATTGTGTAAACAGTGTAACTATTTTCTAAACAGTGAGAGTAAATATTGTGTAAACAGTGAAAGTAATTATTGTGTAAAAAGTGTAATTATTATCTAAACAGTGAGAGTAATTATTGTGTAAACAGTGAGAGTAATTATTGTGTAAACAGTGAGAGTAATTATTGTGTAAACAGTGTAATTATTGTGTAAACAGTGTAATTATTGTGTAAACAGTGTGATTATTGTGTTAACAGTGAGAGTAATAATTGTGTAAACAGCGTAATTATTGTGTAAACAGTGTAACTATTGTATAAACAGTGTAAATATTGTGTAAACAGTGAGAGTAATAATTATGTAAACAGTGTGTGTAATTATTGTGTAAACAGTGTAATTATTGTGTAAACAGTGTGTGTAATAATTGTGTAAACAGTGAGAGTAATTATTGTGTAAACAGTGTAATTATTGTGTAAACAGTGTAATTATTGTGTAAACAGTGTGTAAACAATGTGTGTAATTATTGTGTAATCTGTGAGAGTAATTATTGTGTAAACAGTGAGTAATTATTGTGTAAACAGTGAGAGTAATTATTGTGTAAACAGTGTAATTATTGTGTAAACAGTGTAATTATTGTGTAAACAGTGAGAGTAATTATTGTGTAAACAGTGTAATTAATGAGTAAACAGTGTAATTATTGTGTAAACAGTGTGATTATTGTGTAAACAGTGAAAGTTATCATTGTGTAAACAGCGTAATTATTGTGTAAACAGTGTAACTATTGTATAAACAGTGTAAATATTGTGTAAACAGAGTAATTATTATGTAAACAGTATAAATATTGTGTAAACAGTGAGTAATTATTGTGTAAACAGTGAGAGTAATTATTGTGTAAACAGTGTAATTAATGTGTAAACAGTGTAATTATTGTGTAAACAGTGTGATTATTGTGTAAACAGTGACAGTAATTATTGTGAAAGCAGTGTAACTATTGTGCAAACAGTGAGAGTAATTATTGTGTAAACAGTGTAAATATTGTGTAAACAGTTAAAGTAATTCTTGTGTAAATAGTGTAATCATTGTGGAGACGGCGTAATTATTGTGTAAACAGTGTGTGTAATTATTGTGTAAACAGTGTAACTATTATCTAAACAGTGAGAGTAATTATTGTGTAAACAGTGAAAGTAATTATTGTGTAAACAGTGTAACTATTATCTAAACAGTGAGAGTAATTATTGTGTAAACAGTGAGAGTAATTATTGTGTAAACAGTGAGAGTAATTATTGTGTTAACAGTGTAATTATTGTGTAAACAGTGAGAGTAATTATTGTGTTAACAGTGTAATTAATGTGTCAACAGTGTAATTATTGTGTAAACAGTGTGATTATTGTGTAAACAGTGAGAGTAATAATTGTGTAAACATCGTAATTATTGTGTAAACAGTGTAACTATTGTATAAACAGTGTAAATATTGTGTAAACAGAGAGTAATTATTATGTAAACAGTATAAATATTGTGTAAACAGTGAGTAATTATTGTGTAAACAGTGAGAGTAATTATTGTGTAAACAGTGTAATTATTGTGTAAACAGTGTGTGTAATTATTGTGTAATCTGTGAGAGTAATTATTGTGTAAACAGTGAGTAATTATTGTGTAAACAGTGAGAGTAATTATTGTGTAAAAAGTGAGAGTAATAATTGTGTAAACAGTGTAATTATTGTGTAAACAGTGTAATTATTGTGTAAACAATGTAATTATTGTGTAAACAATGTAATTATTGTGTAAACAGTGAGTAATTAATGTGTAAACAGAGTCATTGTTGTGTTAACAGTGTAATTATTGTGTAAACAATGTAATTATTGTGTAAACAATGTAATTATTGTGTAAACAATGTAATTATTGTGTAAACAATGTAATTATTGTGTAAACAATGTAATTATTGTGTAAACAATGTAATTATTGTGTAAACAATGTAATTATTGTGTAAACAATGTAATTATTGTGTAAACAATGTAATTATTGTGTAAACAATGTAATTATTGTGTAAACAATGTAATTATTGTGTAAACAATGTAATTATTGTGTAAACAGTGTCATTGTTTTGTAAACAGTGTAACTATTTTCTAAACAATGAGAGTAAATATTGTGTAAACAGAGTAATTATTATGTAAACAGTATAAATATTGTGTAAACAGTGAGTTATTATTGTGTAAACAGTGACAGTAATTATTGTGAAAGCAGTGTAACTATTGTGCAAACAGTGAGAGTAATTATTGTGTAACCAGTGAAAGTAATTATTGTGTAAACTGTGTAATTATTGTGTAAACAATGTAATTATTGTGTAAACAATGTAATTATTGTGTAAACAATGTAATTATTGTGTAAACAATGTAATTATTGTGTAAACAGTGTCATTGTTTTGTAAACAGTGTAACTATTGTATAAACAGTGTAAATATTGTGTAAACAGTGAGAGTAATCATTGTGTAAACAGCGTAATTATTGTGTAAACAGAGAGTAATTATTCTGTAAACAGTATAAATATTGTGTAAACAGTGAGTAATTATTGTGTAAACTGTGTAATTATTGTGTAAACAGTGTTATTGTTGTGTAAACAGTGTCATTGTTGTACAAACAGTGTAATTAATGTGTAAACAGTGTAATACTTGTGTAAACAGTGTAATTAGTGTGCAAACAGTGTCATTATTGTGTTAACAGTGTAATTATTGTGTCAGCAGTGTCATTATTGTGTAAACAGTGTAATTATTGTGTAAACAGTGTCATTGTTGTGTAAACAGTGTAACTATTGTGTAAACAGTATAATTATTGTGTAACCAGTATGTGTAATTATTGTGTAAACAGTGTAATTAATGTGTAAACAGTGTAATTATTGTGTAAACAGTGTAATTAATGTGTAAACAGTGTCATTGTTGTGTTAACAGTGTAATTATTGTGTCAACAGTATCATTATTGTGTANGTGTAAACATTGAGAGAAATTATTGTGTAAACAGTGTAATTATTGTGTCAACAGTGTCATTATTGTGTAAACAGTGTAATTATTGTGTCAACAGTGTTATTATTGTATAAACATTGTAACTATTGTGTAAACAGTATAATTAATGTGTAAACAGTGTAATTAACGTGTAAACAGTGTCATTATTGTGTAAACAGTGAGAATAATTATTGTGTAAACAGTGTAATTATTGTGTAATCAGTATGTGTAATTATTATGTAAACAGTGTAACTAATGTGTAAACAGTGTAATTATTGTGTAAGCAGTGTAATTAATGTTTAAACAGTGTAAATATTGTCTAAACAGTGTAACTATTGTGTAAACAGTGTAATTAATTTGTAAACAGTGCCATTATTGTGTAAACGGTGTAACTACTGTCTAGCCTATCTATTACTATGCATGTGTGTGCCTTGCTATCTTGGCTATATTTTACTGTGTTAAAAGTGTAATTATCAATTAACAATGTTCAATCTTGATATTCCATAACGATGTGGTTTTATCCATGTCTTTGGGTGGAAATCCTGCAATTACATGTATGTACATTGTAGAGTACAAAATCATATACCCCTAAGTACGTTTACACCATCTTATAAAATATTTTATATAGCATCGTTTGCCATATCAGCTTCATTACAAGGTATGTCAGTAACTTAAGTTTATCTGAATATCATATTTAAAAATAGAGTACAGATTTGATACAATATATCATTTATAAAACAAATTTCAGTACAACCGTAGTGAATTATCCTGATAATCTCTTATATGATATTGGTTTATAACAAAAAGCTTAATGAATGAAACACAGCAATGAGAGGTTGCTACTGAAAAAAATGCATTTCAGGTTAACTTAATCTAAGTAGATTTTTATTTTGTTATAAACCAATTTTAAACTAGGTCACTCTTAATAAAATTGTTTTAAACTATTCTTGTCTGTTGGTGACGTTTGCCTGTACCTATGCAATAAAATGTACGCACGAAAACAAAAGTTCCGATTTTCTACGACAACTCATTGATTGATCATGATTTCACAATTAATACTAAAACTAGTACGACTAATACAGATCTTTATAACATTATACCATACCTCAGTACGCCGCGATACACTAATGATTACACTGATATATTACCGTGATTGTATGAGCAGTGTAATTACCGTGTAATAACCGTAGCTTTACAAGTGTAGTGTCTGTTTAACCAATGTAATTACGGTAAATAGTGTTTAATCAGTGTAATAAATACGTGGTGCCAGTGTTACGTTTATGTAACCAGTATTAAGTTATGTAATGCCTGTATACTAATGAAGTTACCGATCAACAATGTAATTATTGTCTTGGTACAAGATGAAGCTGCCGTTTTCAAAAGTTATCTCCCTCAATGAAGATATGTTTTCTATCGTTACAGAAAAATCCACGCCTTTATCTACGACGCCACGCCTCTTGAGTATCATGTCGGAAATGACAAGGACTGTGAGCTGACCACAGTTGGGGACTGGTACGCCATGACAGGGTACGGGGTGGGATTCCCGAGGGGGTCCACCTGGGTGGAGGAAGTGGATCAGATTATACTCAAGCTACAAAAATCAGGTATGTTATTTATTGGTTTGTTTTAAGTGTGTTATAATTATCAAAATCGACGCTACAAACGAAATAAATATGTGTAAAAATATCTTCAAATCGTTATATCTAACTAAAAATACACTTTAATTCATTCTATAGATATATAAATCATACAATCAGAAAAATAGTATGATCATTTCTTCAGTTGCCATATCAGACGCTAGCAAATGGTCGTATGTCCCCTCAGTAATATATTCAAACTATTAGTGGTTCCTTTTGCATTAGAATATTGCTTCGAACGGCGTTTCCCCCGTATTGGTACCTCAATTGAGTGCCATAGCATTGACGCTGTAACCCCTTTTCTAGACCAATTTTATTCTCCACTTGAGAAATTAGAGTTGTGTCAAAAACTCTCTGAATATGCTTCATGCTATGACAATTTTCGAGGATCAAAATTCGACTGTCCTCGTAAAATGTCGGAATTTTAACAACTTATCCAATTTCGTCCTATTTATACGTTTGTGTTCTGTAAGGGCGGCTATTTTAACAAAAAGGACCTTTCTATCACGGACATACCGTGTTTTCCAAGACAGTTGAATCGTTTTCAAAAAAGTAACAATATGAAAGTGCTAAGATCTAAGATATTACCTCATTAGTAATTTTAGGACGTCGATATTTTTAGTATGGATTTAAAAAAAATGAATATGTTATACTCAAATAAAAGAAACGATAACACTTTATCACTAATAGTCCTATATAATTTGTTTAATTACATACATTTTATTCTGTTAGAGAACCTATTTAAACCAAAATGATTTCCCTGACAATAGAGTTTAACTTGTATCCTTATGCGCGTAAGTGACATATTGTTACTATGGTATTATACAAGAGGATGATATGCAAAACAAACGCGTATTGGTATGTGAGTGCAACTTGGGATGTTGGTTATTTGTCGTCTTCGATTTGATTCCGTGATTGAATATCAGTGGGCTCTATACAAAGTCACCTGCCACTGAAGTCGATATTTAAATCATTTCTTATTAATAAATACAATTTATGTGTGTAACAATCATTTCTTATGATTATCATATACCCAATGTTGGTAAATTAAGCCTATTGGCAGTTAATACCTCAGCGCACTTCAACAGTCTTACAAACAAAATCGAAGCTGACACACCGTAAATACCTATCACTTATTTTAGAAGTCATATGAGAATCCATATCCATACGTCAAAAATTCGGTCGAGCTTTGTTGTGAGCACGCCAAATTGACAGCGACTCTGATAACATAGTCCTTTTTGCTAGTTCACATACAGAGTTTCAAATAAGAATAGTTTGAGCGAGATCAGGGCATTAGGGAGCAAGACATCAGTAGTCACAGAAATCACGGTTTGAAAGTTCGGCGACTTGCAAAATGCAAAAAAAGGAATTCAATTTATGGACATTTCCTATAAGATGTATACCAGGACTGGAATACCACAGTTAAGCATTAATGAAATGTTGCACATTATGAATTTCATAAACCTACTAACACTACAGTTGATCAGATGTTGAAATAATAACACCGACTGTTTCACATCTTTTATTCAATTTAGCGTTTGTGTGGATGTTATGTCTTATTTATCATCACACATTATCTTGCGAATGTTAAAGATTGCATTTAGCGAATTGTGTACTCTCTGGGTTTTTCAGGCGAAATGGAAAGATTACGAAAATTTTGGCTAGCTGGCGCTTGTCATCGAAGGAAACAGAAAAGGGGACAATCCAGTCATAACATCGGCATCCTTAACTTCACCAGTGCTTTTATATTCCTGGCCGGTGGAATGCTGGTCGGCGTCATCCTACTTATAGCAGAACATCTCTATTTTAAATTTGGAAGAAGCTGTTTGCGGAAATACGACAAAAACGGTTGTTGTGCTTTAGTTAGTTTGGTATGTTGTGCTCAGTTATGCTTTCAATTTGTAAACAAATATCCTCGGTTGGTGTTTGTATTGTGTAAGGTTTAGTATTGTAAGTTCTGCCCTCTATTTGGACTATAGTTTCGTATGTATACCAAACAGAATAAATACATCCTCATCAATAAGCAAGGACAAAATCAGATCAAAACTTGATTACCCACCATATATATATATATATAAGCCAAGAACAGAAATGCTGTACCTGTTTCATATTGTAATACAGGAAGAGATTATAGCATTGGAACTTTCTCCTCTGTTTTGCATTTCACTATTCTCCTCTCTAGATTGACCTCTGAAATGTATTATTTTAGAATGTAGTATAAATAACAAAGTTGTGCTATTAATTGAAACCATGCTATAATTTTAATCGGAATCAAGTGTTAAAATATGATGCTTTCTTACCCAAAGTCAAAATAGTTTATTTCAATGTCATTTCAGGTTGTACATGTTCATACGTTTCTCGTGTTAGAAGGATCGTGAGTGTCACACTATTGCTCGTTTTTATTTCCAGAGTATGGGTCAATCATTAACGTTTGAACAGTCGGTTATAGAGGCTATAGACATGCATAAACGTCATCGATGCAAAGATCCACTTTGTGAAACACAGTTATGGAAAGTGCGTCACGAATTGGACCTGTCAAAATTTACTATAGAAAAACTAAAAGACCAATTACAGTAAGTATATTGAACATATATATCATTTTCGTACATTTGACGTGTGTGTCGAACTGAGTTATTTTATTATACTGGGGTAATTATTGAGGGGTAGGGAACATTTTGAATATGAATGATGCATACCCATTTTGAGGTTATTGCGTTAGTGAACACAGTCAGGGGGTTAGATGATAAGGACTAAGTCTACAAAAAGCTAGTCGTAGTGGAGAACCTGCTTTCCTTTACAAAAACAAACAGAAAGATACACAGACGAAATCTCAGACAGAAGAAGGCATCCACATTGATCATTGTTGTGTAACCGGTCCTGATTAATATACGAACGAGAAAAATTATCAATAGTTTCTAACGTCACAGCACCCAAATCGGGACACTTTCTAGTGAAATATTGATATATTTCATACCATGGTACCGATCCAAATAATTTTTGTTCACTTTTCCTAAATAGATATCATTATCTTTTAATTTTGATAACAAGTTGATATTTCTGGCGCGTGGTTCTCTAAATAGAACCGGAAATACAGTCATGGTAAAGAAATCGCGAACCAGGTGTAGCTGTACCCAAATCGGGACACCCCTATCAGTTTTGGCTTATATTTGGAGATGAAAAAGTATTTAGCAGAACATGGCATATCTTTGGAATATTTAAGAGTCAATGGTCGTTCTGAATGAATGTCTTTTCCAAACTACCATTAATTGTGAAATAATAGGATTGTGAAAAATCGCATACAAAAATTGAAAATCAATAACTTTGCATGGCGCATCAATTTAGAACGTCATTATTTTCAAACTTAAACTGTGATTGTAACCATAAGTGGCAGTAAATAAAGTTCATATAATGTTTTATTGGTACAGGTGTATATTAGCATCTTCAAATCAATATTTTGAATTAAGAAATACTTCTTTGTACGGCATGCAAATTTCTTGTGACTTTTTCCTTCAAGTGTCCCGATTTGGGTACTGTCCCGATTTGGGTACTGCAATACTAAACGTTTAATGCCGATATGAGAAATTTTGTAATATTTCCTTCGTTGTTGAATCGCCCATGGCCGGATCCTCACTTTAAAAACAGATCTTCGCGCTTGTTAAGTTTTCGTCTATTCTGTTATCTTGTAGAGCTACCGCTCCTTTATTCTTTCATTCGTTATCAAATAATTTGCTACTCATCCCCGATATTTTCCTCTTACTGCTATTTTCCTCTCATAAATGGTCTACAAAATTTTGATTTCTCTCATAAATGGTCTACAAAATTTTGATTTCATTGTCCACTTGTTTCTTACCGCATATGTCGGGTTTTTTACATCGCTCTTACCACCATTTCTACCTACGACCGGAGCAAATATTTGTTTAAGCATCTCGTTCACCAGATCAATATCATCCTGCCATATAGCATCATGTTTTTATGATCTAGTCTTGTTTAAAGCCCAGCAGGATTATGATGCTCTCCAAGATTTTCGACAAACACGTTATCTAATATTTTGGAGCTCTTCTGTTCTTGATTGCTACTATTTTTTCTCACTATAATCCGTCCATTTATTTGAAAAAGGATGAGAAAATTTGGTTTATATTCTTGTTCGTTTTGTTGTATGATGCTGTTTAATTCATTTTTGGTATACTGTATATATTGTTAAGGTCATTCGTGTGTGTGGTACTTATATAGGAGTACCTTTTACTTTTACATTTTCTGCACTCTGTTGAAATCATTTTCATCATTACTGCTCATTCTCTATCATCCGTCATTGCGTCAGGTCGCCTTTTCGGTATTGTCCTTGGTTTTATTCTGCCTCTTGCTGGTTTCTTTTGTAGGGGTCCTTGGTATGACAGACTCTTATAGTAATAGTTTCTTTAACGTCAGTGAAACTGTTGCAGAAATGATTGTACCCCAAAACTTGAAGTGTCGAAAAACAGTTTTTTGAATAAATACATAAATACATATATATGATCCGATTTTGCCTTTTGAAACCACCACAATGTTTGTCTCCGAATGTGTCAATTAAAGAGAAACAAAATTTCTGGAACCTTGTGTTTTATGTTAATCGTGGTCCTCCACGATGTTTTCCTATTTCATGGGTATTATATACAGAATGATCAGACGGATTTATCAATCTATCTTTTACTTGAGAAAGTGTTCGTTTTGTATCAATCTCCACTGCAAAAAAAATATTTTTACATCACAGCATGTGACCTATATATTATTCTAATGAACCTTTTCCTTGTCGCATTTGTCATGCGATGTGATAGAAAATCCCCGTCGTCAGTGCAAGGTCACTGCTTGATATGGTATTAATCATCATACAACTCTACGGCATCACAGCTTCGAATTCGTGTTAATTATGTAGAACAGAAAATGTAGTACTTTACATTAAACTGTATGTGTACAGCATTTCACTTTACAAATAAAGTTATGATATATTTAATTTTGTATTCATGATTTACAAGAATATAGGTAAAACCAATCATTTTTCTGGTAGTCAACCCACAAGTAAAATGTAAGGTTTTTATTATGAATATGGAGTTGATATTATCCAAGTGTGCAAATTGAAACTTTGTTACTGTTCACAACAAAATCTGAGCAATCAGAAAATAGTATGTTCTTTGAAAAAATTAACATTAACTAGAAATCGTCTCAAATATCATTGTTTATTCATCAAGAAGCAAGGAATGTCGTTCATTCGCTCAAGCTAGGTTATCTCAATGATTATTTTTTATTTTTATCATTGCAGGAGTTTTGGTATAAAACCTTTAGAAGGAAATCTTTTCCGGCATAAGAAAAAGCCAGCACTGGAACAGACTCCTAATCCTAAACCGAATGGATACCCCAGATGTAATAGATCTGAGGGCGCCGAGGAGGAACACCGAGTGTGTCCCGAATCTCAGAGTAAGGAACGCTTACTTCAGGACAGTGAATGTACGAGTACTAGTCCGTACCTGCACGATCCGTCCCTGACTCGGTGGTCAAAAAGGTCGTTACGGCGGTCACCTAGTTATACGAACGCTATTGCGATTGAACCGTCAGAAAAGGGAGACAGCGGGAGCGTGATACAAAGACATATTAATAAAGTCCGTTGTCACGACGGGAATTACTATGTTGGTGTAAGTAATGATAATCCGACAGAAGGATACGACATGACGCATTATGTCGAATAATATTACAGTGGGTGATTCATAACCCTGCACCATGACGTCAGGACAAGCCATTTCGTTATAAGATTTGATTTATATGACATCAGTGCGCGATGGCATTTGTCTACGCACCCAACGCAAAAGTATATACCCTTTTTAACACAACTGTTTGATGTGTATTATGAACTTTACAAAGAGTACCTTAAAACAACTGACCTAGAGGGGAGATTTTGAGAAAGACTTTATGATAAGTAACGTTGTCGAAGCATGATGCACTATGTATTATGCATTAAAATATAAGATTAAAATACCGTTCTGAATATTTAGTAAAAACCTCCTTACGAAACCCGTTCTGAATATTTAGTAAAAACCTCCTTACGAAACCCGTTCTGAATATTTAGTAAAAACCTCCTTACGAAACCCGTTCTGAAGATTTAATAAAAACCTCCTTACGAAACCCGTTCTGAAGATTTAATGTGAAAACCTCACACTGCAAACTCGAACTAAAAAAGGGATATATAGATATCCCTTCCACTAAATAGTGAATATAGAAATCCATACAAAACCGTACTGAATAAATGATTGATATGATCTCCACTTAATCGCACTAACTAGTTAATGCAGGTATCCCTGTTAATTCGTGCTGAATAGTTCATATAGTTTTATCACTATGAATCCTAACATAGATCTCTTTAGAAACTCGTACGGAATAAGTGATTAAGATTTGCCTACAAATCCGCACAGAATGGTTAAATAGATCATCTAACAAAATTGTACCAAAAAAAGAGATATAAATCCATACAAACTTGTACTGAATGATTAAAAAATCAACAAAAACTCTTACAAAATAGTTAAGGGAAATCATCCCACAAGTACTTAATTATTAATATAGCTTTCTACACTAAATTGTTGTTTACATTTATCTCTAGAGACTACAAAGTCGTACTAAATATTTGCTCCTACTTATTGTCTAATATTGATCTTCCTACAGTCTACAAACCTTTACTGTACATATAGTTAATGAACTTATTTCTACAAACTCGTGTTAAATGGTTACTCTAGTTATTCCTAAAATGTGGAACTTTCAAATCCGTACAAACTCGTACTTTCAAATCCGAGCTGAATAGTTACCGCAGATCGCACTTCAAACCCGTACTAAACTTTAAAAATATATCTGTACAAAATGTCATTATTTTTTTAGTCGTTACTATTCAATTGATTACCTTTGTTGTAATGAAATTTACAAATATTGTGGAATATTCTTGACATGGCGTAATATTACTGACGAAATAATATCTATATAATGAGTTTGGTATGTAATGTTTGATTGTATAAGATCACTTCATCTCAAGATTTGTAACACCAAAATCGATTCCTTATTTTGATAAATATGTTCATATGATTTCCCATAAAGCGGCAGTTTTATTTTTTGCTGTCGACAGATTATCATTTTTCACTTGTTCTATATTAAAATCAATAAATCAACATTTGTCGCTTGATTTACATTGTAGTCAATAGCTCAACATTTGTCATTAGGCTACATTTAAGTTAATAAATCAACATTTGTCACTTGGTTTGTCACTTTGTTAACATTAAAGTCAATAGATCAACATTTGTCATTAGGTTTGTCACTTTGTTAACATTGAAGTCAAAAGATCAACATTTGTCAATAGATTTGTCACTTTGTTAACATTGAAGTCAAAAGATCAACATTTGTCGCTTGATAGTCACTTTGTTAAAATTTAAGTTAATGAATTAATATTTGTCATTAGGTTTTTCACTTTGTACATGTATGTATTTAAGTCAATAGATCAACATTTGTCACTTGGTTTATATTGTAGTCAATAGATCTACATTTGTCATTCAATTTTTCACTTTGTTTACATTTAAGTCAATAGATCAACATTCGTCACTTGGTTTTTATTGAAGTTAACAGATCGATAAATATCACCTGTTTTTCACGTAGAATTGTATTCTTTTAAATCGCGACTGCAGGCGTCGATATCAAATCAGCATTTATTTCACTTTTAATAAGAAATTCAAATGAATTCGTCTACAACGAACACGGGTGTTTACGTTTGCTAAATTACGTGGTTGTCTTTGACGCTGGCTTTTATGTTCTTCAACATTTGAGTGGTGGAAATTTCTATATACTAGAACTGAACACATAGGAACAAAGCTAACAGATACCAACGCAGTATCTGATTTGCATTAGTAAATTTGATTTCCATATATGTGACGAATTCTGTCATTTATTTGAAAATGTTTTGAATATTTTTATTTCACTTCTCTATTACACATGTCCATACACTGTTACTACTGTGTAACACTTGTGTCATGACAGTACCTATTTACTGCTGTGAAACACTTGGCATTACATTGTCACTACGATATAACACATGTCTTCACTGTTCCTATTTACTGCTGTGTAACAGATTTCAATACATTTTTGCTACAGTGTGACAAATGTTATTTTATTCCATTACTGTGTAATACATTTGCAATAGGCTGTTATTTCATTGCTTTATAACACATAAGCACATTGTACATTCTCAACCACATCTACATTTCCTTCTTTTGACTGAAACGTCAAACAGTTAACGACTAGCATACATCGTACCACAGACCTAGACATATGTCAGATAACAGTTAACGACTAGCAAACATCGTACCAAAGACCTATACATATGTCAGATAACAGTTAACGACTAGCATACATCGTACCACAGACCTAGACATATGTCAGATAACAGTTAACGACTAGCATACATCGTACCACAGACCTAGACATATGTCAGATAACAGTAAATAACTGATATACATTATACGACAGACCTCGACATAAGTCAGATAACAGTGACTAAAATAAATCGTACCACAGACCTCGACATATATATAAGAACAGTTAATGAGTAACATACATCGTACCACAGAATGGACATATGTATGAGAACAGTAAATGACTTTCATACATCGTACCACAGACCTCGACATATGTCTGAGAAAAGTTAATGACTAACATCCATCGTGTCACATACCTCGACATATGTCAGAGAACAATAAATGACTGACATACATCGTACCACAGGCCCTGGACATATGTCTGAGAACAGTTATAGACTAGCATACATCGCACCACATACCAAGACATATGTCAGAGGACAATTAATGACTGACATAAATCGTACCATAGACCTGGACATATGTCTGAGAACAGTTAATGACTAACATACATCGTACCACAGACCTCGACATTTGCCCGACAAAAATTAATGACATATCTTTGAAAACAATTAATGACTGACATAAATCGTCCAATAGACCCGGACATATGTCTGAGAACAGTTAATGACTAGCATACATTGTACCACATACCTAGACATATGTCAGAGAACAATTAATGACTGACATAAATCGTACCATAGACCTCGACATATGTCTGAGAACAAATTAATGACTAAATACATTGTATCACATACCTCGACATATGTCTGAGAACAGTTAATGACTACATACATTGTATCACATACCTCGACATATGAGTGAGAACAATTAATGACTAATATGCATCGTACCACAGACCTGGACATATGTCTGAGAACAGTTAATGACAGACAGATATGGTACCACAGGCCTTGGCATATGCCTGAGAACAATTAATGACAGACATATATGGTACCATAGACCTCGACATATGTCAGATAACAGTTAATGACAGACAGATATGGTACCATAGACCTCGACATATGTCAGATAACAGTTAATGACAGACAGATATGGTACCATAGACCTCGACATATGCCTGAGAACAATTAATGACCAACATGCATCGTACCACAGACCAGTTATATTTCCGAGAACCAGGCTGACACTTGTATAATTTTGTTGCATACAGTATCACCAATACTCCAAGTCACTGTCACACTCGATATACAGTTATCGTTCTGACACCACACCACAAAACATCCGTCCTCTTTCTTCTACACGCTGCCGTTCTGCAATAATTCTTTTCACAGTTCCCAATTTCTATGACGCCACAATGGATAGCATGAGGTCCTTTTACGCGGCATTCAATGGGATGTTCCTATAACTTCAAAACGTAATTGACATTAGGTGTGGCCCACTGATACCAAATTTCTTTCCTTGTGGATAATCAATTTCATCATCATAGAAAACCAAATTAATGGGATTAATGTTTGAATTCATCATTTAAATACGTGAAGAGATGAATATTCTGTATGATCTGCTGAAAGTGACAATACTGAATTAATATGTGTGGCCTACGGGTAGGGAAAGTAACCTGTGTCGCCACAGAGAATGGGGAGTATACATATGGTAATATAGGCAGACATAACACTTAATTCGTTATTGCAAAAACTGTTACATTTTATGCTTACACGAAAGACTTAAATATACTTTTTATGATATGTATTTATTTATAATAATTTCTGGTTTTCACTAACGACAAGCTACTAGCTAATCATGTTGCTGCATTGCCATCTGTCCAAATACCGGTCAGAAGAGTCGTCAGAAGTCTCGCTAGTATTGGATTTCAGAACTTGACAAGAATCAAAAGTAACAACGTTTATCACTAGCAGTATCCAAACAAACCATTACCGCCATTTTAGCACAATTTTATAAGGGTTACAGTGTTAGTGTGAGCCTATATGCTACGGATCTCTTGATCAATCGCGAACGCCCTTTCCTCAACAGGTATCTTCTGTAAAAGAATTTTGTTTTCTATTCTGTGAACTACCATACTTAAAAAAAGGCTATCGGTGAAATAATTGTACGGTTGTAAACTTTTTGGGGAAATAGTTCTTGAAAAAAATGTATGGCTTAGATTCAAAAACAAACAAGGAATTTGTAAAAATGGTTGAATCCCTTGATGATAAAATCTTTGCAGAGTCCAGGGGCAAGATTTGTTTCTAAGCGACTATTGACAAGCCTTTGGGAAAACACTCTACCCCTCTTTCGGCCAACTTTTGATTTGCCGATAGCGAACTTGCCTTTTCTTGAAAGTA